TCCAGGACAGGCTCAAAAGCAACAGAGAAATCCTGTCTTAAAAAACCAAAGAGGCCTTGCCAATCCCAGGAAACTAAAGTGTTCCTCCCCTCTCTTGCCTTCTCAGGACCCATAGCTCAATTACTGGGTCATGCTTTCTAACATGGCATCCAAGGTTGCCAACTGCCCAAAAACATCTCTTCCCACTTTACAGAGGTTAACACCATAAAGCTACAGCCACCCCTCACTTGAGGTGCCAACCACTATCTAGTCAAAACAACCACAACTTTCACCAATTCAGGAGGGAAAATGCTGGAATTTCTAACGTAGGTGACTGTGTGCATATTCTAAATCACATCACTAGGAATGCCTAATCTCCCGGTACCAGCACTTAGAGCAGTGGTTCTCAACCTTCCTAATACTGTGACCCTCAATAAAGTTCCTCGTGTTTTCATTGTTACTTCATAACTGTCATTTTGCTTCTGTTATGAATTATAATGTAAATATCTGATATTGAGGATACCTGATATGCAACCCATGTATAAGGGTCATTCAACAACAACCACTGATTTAGAGGAAGCCAGATCTCTAAGTTTAAGGCCAGCTGGTCTACACAGCAAGTTCCAGGACAACTCAATACCAAGTGTGAGGTACCTCCCCTTGAGTTGTTGGTCAGAGGTGTCCCAGAGACCCTAAGAACAACACAGGCCATTGTCACTGGTCTTTGATGCCCACCAAAACTTTGATGGGAAGACCCTATTGCTGATGACACCACACACAACTGGTCACAGGACATGGAGAAATGAGATAGTATTAACCTCACTGCTGGCAAGCTTCTACAGTTACTGGAAGTTACTACGTAGGTGGCCGAAGACTGGAGGGAGAGTCATCAAGAATCTTACCCAGCCTTTAACCCTGTAAACTATAACACTAACCAGAACAGCAAGATATACCGAGAGGTATAATAGCGGCATGAATTCCAAGTATAACCAGCTGCTTTATGATTGTATTTAAGGCCCAAACGAAAAGGAGAAACACAGGCCTGGCGCTGTAGTCTGGTCAAGAACTCGTGGTGGGGGAGTTCACAGAGGCCAGGGATGAACTCACTACTATTATCCTGCTAATGTGCATATTATTAAACTGTCCTCTGAATTCACAACTCTGCACCCATACGTCAGTGCAGCTCTCAGACCCAATCAGGGAAGTTTCTCTGTGCAGTGGGCAGTAGTTAATGCAGACACTCACAGTGATCAACGCGCAGAGAATGCATGTCACTGAAGGGCTCAGTCACAGGTGGGATGTCTATCACACACACACACACACACACACGACAAACTCACTCGTACGCATGCATCTCCTGGACAGGATGGGACCACTGCTCTCACGAACTCACAGTGCCTATATAGCTGCCTGCACAAATCATGCCAGCCGTCAGTGCACCATGAAAGATGAAGGAGCTTGTGAGTACCAAACACCTAACTGAGGCGCTATAGACAGTCAATGGCTTCTGAAGGAGGGGAAAAATCTGTCCTCTTTAAGGGTCCCATAAATATACAAGCAACACACAAATTGGCCTCCAAGTTTTTGTTTTTATAGTTTTGTTTAAAAAAAAAAAAGAGGATACAAAGTGTGGGAGAGTAGGTTTTGTGTATCAATTTCTTCCCAGACAAAACCATATATCTCAAGACACAGGATGTTAGAGCTGGAGAGATGGCTCAGATGTTAGGAGCACTTGCTGCTCTTCAAAGAACCTAGGGTTCCATTCCCAGAACCCACATGGTGGATCACAACCATATGTAACTCTAATTCCGTAGAATTCAACACCTTCTTCTGACCGCCACAAGCAATGCACACACGATATAAACACAAATTCATGTAAAATATCTACACACATAAAATACAAATTAAATAACCTTTTTTTTAGAAAAAGGATTAAATTTAAAACAAAAAAGGGGCACAGAATGTTAAGAAAGAAGTAAAAATAACAAGATGTCCTAAAGGAAGGTGAATATTCCATCCTGAAAAACACCCCTTAAGCTCAGGAAGTGCTGAAACTGAGCAGATTCAACAAGGTTCTCCCTCCCCAAGCATATACAAGCAGCAAGGACTACTAAGAGACAGACAAGAAAACTGCCTGGAAGCAGAAGAGGCCAAGACGGGTAACTGGAAAAGCTAGGATCAACTGGGGCTCCTGGAAAAGACAGTCTCCTGCCTGGTGAACTGCCAACACACTGCAGTGTGTGCCAAGGGTCCTGAACTGTCCCCTACACACTGCAGTGTGTGACAAGGGTCCTGAGCTGTCCCCTACACACTGCAGTGTGTGCCAAGGGTCCTGAGCTACCCCTACACACTGCAGTGTATGACAAGGGTCCTGAGCTGTCCCCTACACATCTGCCGTGTGTGCCAAGGTTCCTGAGGTGTCCCCTACACATCTGCAGTATGTGCAAGGTTCCTGAGCTGTCCCCTACACATCTGCAGTGTGTGCAAGGTTCCTGAGCTGTCCCCTACACATCTGCAGTGTGTGCCAAGGTTCCTGAGCTGTCCCCTACACATCTGCAGTGTGTGCAAGGTTCCTGAGCTGTCCCCTACACATCTGCAGTGTGTGCCAAGGTTCCTGAGGTGTCCCCTACACATCTGCAGTATGTGCAAGGTTCCTGAGCTGTACCCTACACACTGCAGTGTGTGCCAAGGGTCCTGAGCTGTCCCCTACACATCTGCAGTATGTGCAAGGTTCCTGAGCTGTCCCCTACACATCTGCCGTGTGTGCCAAGGTTCCTGAGGTGTCCCCTACACATCTGCAGTATGTGCAAGGTTCCTGAGCTGTCCCCTACAGATCTGCAGTGTGTGCCAAGGTTCCTGAGGTGTCCCCTACACATCTGCAGTATGTGCCAAGGTTCCTGAGCTGTCCCCTACACATCTGCAGTGTGTGCAAGGTTCCTGAGCTGTCCCCTACACATCTGCAGTGTGTGCCAAGGTTCCTGAGGTGTCCCCTACACATCTGCAGTATGTGCAAGGTTCCTGAGCTGTCCCCTACACATCTGCAGTGTGTGCAAGGTTCCTGAGCTGTCCCCTACACATCTGCAGTGTGTGCCAAGGTTCCTGAGCTGTCCCCTACACATCTGCAGTGTGTGTGCGCCAAGGTTCCTGAGCTGTCCCCTACACATCTGCAGTGTGTGCAAGGTTCCTGAGCTGTCCCCTACACATCTGCAGTGTGTGTGTGCAAGGTTCCTGAGCTGTCCCCTACACATCTGCAGTGTGTGTGCGCCAAGGTTCCTGAGCTGTCCCCTACACATCTGCAGTGTGTGCAAGGTTCCTGAGCTGTCCCCTACACATCTGCAGTGTGTGTGCGCCAAGGTTCCTGAGCTGTCCCCTACACATCTGCAGTGTGTGCAAGGTTCCTGAGCTGTCCCCTACACACTGCAGTGTGTGCCAAGGTTCCTGAGCTGTCCCCTACACACTGCAGTGTGTGCAAGGTTCCTGAGCTGTCCCCTACACATCTGCCGTGTGTGCCAAGGTTCCTGAGCTGTCCCCTACACACTGCAGTGTGTGACAAGGGTCCTGAGCTGTCCCCTACACACTGCAGTGTGTGCCAAGGTACCCGAGCTGTCCCCTACACACTGCAGTGTGTGTCAAGGTTCCTGAGCTGTCCCCTACACACTGCAGTGTGTGCCAAGGTACCCGAGCTGTCCCCTACACATCTGCAGTGTGTGCCAAGGTACCCGAGCTGTCCCCCATGCTGGAGTGGGCTTTGGTGATGAGGCTGTCTTTGAGTGGTTTCTGTTTCTGTTAGTAACCCCTCACCCATATTCCTCTAAGTAATCACAACAAAACTCACTAGTGGACCCAGTTGGATTTTGGGGACAGCCACACTGGGATCTGTCACTATTAATTTCCTATCTGAGGTGAGCAGACTCTTGTTCAAGTCTCCCCAGGAACAGTGTTACACAACAGTAGGAAGGAATGGGTGAGTCTGGGGGACATTAGGGCGAGGTGTAGGGAGATAATAGGGAATTTATTTGCATGAAATTCCCCAAGAATAATATTTTTAATATTTCTGTTAATTTTTATTTCCTTTTTATGGATTTTTGCCTGCATGTATGTCTGAGTGAAGGCATCGGATCCTCTGGAACTGAAGTTACACACAATTGTGAGCCACCATGTAGGTACCTGGATCCTCTGGAAGAGCAGTCAGGGCTCTTAACCACTGACCCCTCACACCAGCTTCAAGAATAAGATGTTTTTAAAGAATCCTAACATTCCCGGATTTCCCAGCACAGGTTCATTCAGCCTTTACAGGCATCCCTGGCTTCTATGTCTGAGACAACCCAAGCAGGCTGTGCTGACCACCTTAGCGCAGAGACCACCTCCTACTTGCATTTTGGCTACACAGGACATTTGCAAGGGTTTGTTCGTTTCATCAGAACCCAGGATTTTACCCAGTGAACTACAAACCCTGTCTGAGAATTTCATTCCCACATCATACCCATGTGTCACTATGATCTCTACAAACCCCAGCATAAACTGCTTCTGAGATGGCTCAGAGGTTAGGAGCACTGGCTGCTCTTCTAGAGGTCCTGAGTTCAATTCCCAGCACCCACATGGTGGCTCACAAAACCTCACAACTGCTACCACCTCAGGGGGTGCCACACTACAGAAAGGAATCTCAGTTGCGCTAAGCATATTTCTCTTTTAACGGCCTATAAAGTAACCCCCGTGAGTCCCAAACCAGCACCAGGCAACCCCCTCAAACTCCCAAACTTATATTAAGAAATCCTACCAGCCCAAAACTGGCACCAGTGACCCCTATGAGTGCCACAAACTAGTGTCAGTCAACCCCACAAGCCCAAAGCAGCACTAAGGGTGGTCATTTCTCATTCAGAGGCCTTCCAAGACTAAGCAGAGCTACCTGCTCCCTCAGGGAGGGCAACGAGATAAGACTTCATCTGAGCACAGACACAAGCAGGCTTACAATGTATCAGGCTCATCTCTGTCAATAGCCCTGCACAGCCCACAACACTTACTTAGAAACAAGGACAGCAGCTGCATCTCGAGCCTTGTCACTGACGACCAAATAGGACTGCAAGAATGTGACAAATTTCAATTCAGTATTCTTTCGTTATTTTCCAGATTGCCTACAATTATGTAGTATTTATACAATATATTTATACAATAGTCAGAATTAAATGTAAATTGCCCCTGAAACCTCTCATATACCACCATTATGCTTAGCAAATATTTATATTATCTATAAAGAAACGAGACTTACTCAAGTAATTCATCTAATCTCTACGTAAGTTACCACAGTTTCAAAGTAAGCCGAGGTGAGATTTTACCCAAAGTAAGCTGAGATATCACTGACAGCAAGAATGTCAGTCGAGCAAATATAAATATATGCATCAAAGGTTTATCTAACCAAACCCATTTCAGAACAACATAAGTGTGAACAAGTGTACAATTAACTGCCAAAGGGCTATATGATCATAGTTACCTCTGCTACTTGCAGAATACGGTCCATTATGGGTGTTCGTGTTTCTCCAGGTTGAGCGGAGAGGTTCCCATCAAGGCGTGAAAAATCAAAAGGGATCAAGCAGGTCACAGAGAGCCATAGTAAAAGCATGTAGCGTGTTTCCCATGTCTAAGGAGTTAAATCACAGTCAGAATGGTTCCAGTACAGAAGACAAAGCTGATGGGTGTGATGGTACACACCCTGAATCCCAGCCTTCGGAAGGCGAGGAAGGTGGATTGTTCTGGGTTCCAGGCCAGTCAGGGCCACACAGTAAGACCTGACCTCCAAAAAAAAGGAGCAGAAGCCACCAGGCATAAGGCACCCACCCACATGTAATCCCAACATTCAGAAGTCTGCGTCATGAGGATGTCAAGTTCAAAGCCAGCCCATGCCACATAGTAAGTTCTCGGTTAGTCTGGGTTACATAACAAGAACCTACAATAATCCCAAAGAGAGAACAATATCCAGCTGCACTCCGCTGACCATCCTATTGGCCTTCGCACCAACTCAATGCCTACCCTTACACACCATCAACCCCACCCTCGCTATAAACACAACTCTGCGATGGGTGTCCTCCCAGGGTACCATGGGCCTGTGGTGGTCTTGGAGACCTGGCACAGGTATACTCTTTGCTTTTTAAAGGATATAGTCTAAAAGAGAGTAACTTAGAACAACATGTATAGAAGCTAAAGAAGCAGAAGAATTTTTTTTTTTTTAACAGCCTAAGATAAAACCAAGGAAAGTTGGAAGAAGTTGTGAGTGACAGTGCAGCCAGCAGGGCGGGATGGGGTGGGACTCACCTCATGGTCCTTAGGATTCTGACCTGCACACATGTCTAACACAGGCTGAACATCAGCTACTTCATGAGGAAACAGACGTAGAAATACTTTATGCCCGCGAACCTGCCAAATAAAATGACTTTAGAATACAAAGAATACAGACTATAGTGTATAATTAGAAAATAAAAAGACCAGCAGAGTTATCTTGATATTTTTATCAAAAACCATTGTCTATGTCCCCCATGACTGAGGAGATCCTGTCACACTGCAGTGCCACAACTCAGCAAGACCGAAGGGACAAGAGAGCTTGCTTGCTTTCTTCCTTCCCTCCCTCCCTCCCTCCTTCCTTCTTTTCTTTCTTAATATTCAGTAAATATGCTCTGTCCCAATTTGGTTAACAAATCATACTGTGTGCACCAGGGACATAAGTATATGACAAACTAAAAACTTCTGCTTCTATCCTGTTCCGAGATCAGTCTCTGACGTTTATGAAAACGAAGTTTCTATGCACCTCCAATGGCCCCACTCATACTTCTATAAAACATGCAGCATTATCTCAACAGCCAAAGTCCTCGCCCTGCTACACGGTAAGAATGCTAGAACATGTGCCCTGAGACGCAAACAAACTTCACAGAAATTACTCCAAATCACTCCCTCATCTCCAAGTCTGGGGCCAGCACATGGGCATCACCAGAGAACTTGCAGAGAAAACAGATTGTCAGCCCCAGCCCTTCTTCCTCAGAGCTGCATCGTAAGACTCCCCAGTAAATTCACCCCCTTTTCTATCTTACAAAGTACTATTATTGCTGGGTGGTGGTGGCACACACCTTTAATCCCAGCACTTGGGAGGCAGAGGCAGGGGGATCTCTGTGAGTTTGAGGCCAGCCTGGTCTACACAGTGACAATCAGAGATACGTAGTAAGACTTTGTGTGTGTATGGGGGGGAGGAGGTTGAGTACTTCTATTTTCATCCAGCTTTTCTGCTTTTTCCTTATTCTAACTAAAGGATCCCAAGATCACTAAGACTCAAGACCTAACACATACTGAAAAGAGAATGAAAATCCAGCTTGTGTTGAAGAACCACGTCCGCCGAGAAATAACACTTGAGGAGGTAACTGGATGAGAAAATTTCTGTCCGCTCTACAGTGCTGCAGAAATGTTACCTTGGTGATGATATAAAGAAATTTAAAAGCCAGATGCACGAGGCCAGGCAGAGATGTCTCGTCCTGTACCAGCTCCAACAAGGAGTTCATCATCCACTCTAGGGAAAAGCAGATATGAAATACTTAACATAAATTAATCATCAACGGGGAGATGAAAATGGTTGTGTTTAGGGCATACAAATGCTTCAGTATTAGCAAGTCTGGATAACCAAGTGTCAATACAGCAAAGCGCATGCTCACCTCAGTCGCCTCTGAAAGAAAGGTTCGCCCCTTAACTCCCTCCCCCTTGTACGATACAGGGAAAATGTCTAAAACCGGTAACTGACACCATGTTTTACAGGGACACCTGTTACAACTGCTCTGATTTACCAACAGACTAGGCTGAACTAATGCACTGAGATGGAAAAGAGAGGACAATGAGGGTAATGCGGAACACAGCCTTCTCCTGTCTGTACGGAGGCCATGACCAGAACCCAGGACAAGGAGATCTGTATTATTTGAGGGTATATTGTAGTAAGTTCAGGGTACATATGATAAATCCTGGAAAAAAGAAAACGAAAACAAAAACCACTGAGCACATAGTGAAGATAAACTACCAAGCCAAGAGGTGGTGGCGCATGCCTTTAATCCCAGCACTCAGGAGGCAGAGGCAGGAGGATCTCTGTGAGTTCAAGGCCAGCCTGGTCTACACAACAAGTTCCAAATCAGCCAGGCCTATAAAGTGAGACCCTGTCTCAAAATAAATAAACACCAGAAGCAATTAAATTAATACAAAATAAAGTAATAGAGTAAAAATTTAAAAAAAAAGGAAGAAAGAACCTAAAAAGGAAATAAGAAAGAGAAAGTAAGTTTCAAAAGAGTTGACTAAACCTTGTCATGTTGGCTAGAGAGATGGCTCGGCCGTTGGGAGTACTGGCTGTTCTTCCTGAGGACCCGGGTTCAAGTCCTGGTTCAACTCATAGCTGCCTGTGTCTCCAATTTCAGGTGTCCTGACACCTTCACACATATACATGCAGGCAAATGGGTGCACATGAAACAAAAAATTAATTAAAAAAAAAAAAGCTAGTCATGTTGTCAGCTTTACTAAATGAAAACACCCTAATAGCTATCGAAAGACAAGGACTGGCAGGCTGAATCCAGACAAAAAGGAGAGACACGCAGTATTTACCATCAGGAGAGACTTAAGGAACAATAACATCACAAAACCTAGAGGACATTTTCAATTACGAAAATCAATTCACTGTGAAGACTAAATAATTCAGTATGCAATACAACAAATCCCAGAACACCAAGATAAAGCAAAAACCAAAAGCAGAAACAGAACCAAGTAAAAAGAAAATCGGTAAGGTTTGTTTCCCAGAAACCATGCTGGCTAGGTAACGACTGCCTGCAATTCCGAGAACTGACACATGCCCACAGAAATAAAAATTACATTAAAATATTATATTTCAAACAGGGGGAAGGGCTGCCAGATCACTCAGTTAATAAGCCTTACATAATCAATTAAAAAGAGTAAGATTCTGGGCTTACTACCAAAGACCAAATGCCAAGTAAGAGACTGAGCTTGCTGGCAGAGGCCTACAATCTTAGCACGAGGCTGAGGCAGGATGATGTTTAAAGCTGGTCTAGGTTATACAATGAAACCCTGCTTCAGAAACAAACAAAAAAAAAAAGCACAAGAAAAATAGACAATGTTCAAACTCAAATATATTAAACCTCAATGGATACACACTACACACAACACTGAAAGGCAAAAATGAAGTCACAAAATGTGCCCCACACAGGAAAGGATTAGCACAAGCAAGCATCGAGGTCTTCTTCAAAAATGAACCTATCAAAACCCCGTGCCATTTTTACTTAATGTGCTGGCTTTGTGGAAGCCTAGCCAGTTTGGATGTTCACCTTCCTAGATATGGACGGAGGGGGGAGGACCTAGGACTTGCCACAGGGCAGGGAACCTGGACTGCTCTGTGGACTGGAGAGGGAGGGGGAGAGGAGTGGGGGGAGGGGTAGAAGGTGGGAGGAGGGGGAGAAGGGTGGGAGGAGGGGGAGGGAGATGGGAGGCTGGGAGGAGGTGGAAACTTGTTTTTTGTTTATGTTTTTTTTCTTCTTTTCTTAATAAAAAAATTATTAAAAAAAAAAAAAAAAAAAATGAACCTATCTCTACTTCCCAGAAGATAATTCACAATAAAAACTCATCAAGCACTGGATGGCAACGGGAGGTGGTGGTGCACCCCTTAAATCCCAGCACTGGATGGCAACGGGAGGTGGTGGTGCATCCCTTTAATCCCAGCACCGGATGGTAACGGGAGGTGGTGGTGCACCCCTTTAATCCCAGCACTTGGGAGGCAACGGGAGGTGGTGGTGCACCCCTTTAATCCCAGCACTGGATGGCAATGGGAGGTGGTGGTGCACCCCTTTAATCCCAGCACTGTAGGGCAATGGGAGGTGGTGGTGCACCCCTTTAATCCCAGCGCTTGATGGCAACGGGAGGTGGTGGTGCACCCCTTTAATCCCAGCACTGGATGGCAATGGGAGGTGGTGGTGCACCCCTTTAATCCCAGCGCTTGGGAGGCAACGGGAGGTGGTGGTGCACCCCTTTAATCCCAGCGCTTGGGAGGCAACAGGAGGTGGTGGTGCACCCCTTTAATCCCAGCGCTTGGGAGGCAAAGACAGGTGGATCTCTGCGAGTTCAGGGCCAGCCTATGCTACAGAGCAAGTTCCAGGACAGCCATGACTATACGGAGAAATTCTATCTCATTAAAAAACAAAACAAAACACTGAGGGCACCCGGTAAGCATCACATATCACACTCTGGGCTACACAGCAGAGCGTCTGGCAATAAGGGCAGAGCTACAGATTCAAAGCTGTCACCTGAAGAGGTCAAATATCTTCTTTCACTTCTTGTACAGTGCCCACATCTGTTTCATGGGGATAACGAGGAATCCAAAACTATCAGACGAGACCCAAAACACCCACTCTTCAGTCTGACATCAACCACTCGTCTGCAACTGGTCCCTCCAAAGACCCATCTTCAAGAGGTTCAGGGGAGTGGGTGTTTAAATCCTGCCTGCAATCTCACCAACTGTGCAGCAGGGAACAAGTTACTGAACCTCTCAGACCTATACCTCAGTTTCCCCATATTTACATGTAGCTTAGGATAACTGACCTTCCACAGGGACTGCGAGGTTACTACAGTGATTAAATCAGTTGGATAGCTCGATCTCTCTCTCTCTCTCTCTCTCTCTCCCTCTCTCTCTCTCTCTCTCTCTCTCACACACACACACACACACACACACACACACAGGAGAAAATAGAACAAGACAAAAACAAGAGTACTTGAAGCCAACGCAGGCTACATAGCAAGACCCGACCTAAAAAAAAAGAGAAACCAAGCCAGGAATAGAGGTTCAAATCTGTAATCCCAACACTTAGGAGGTTGAGGCTAGAGAACTGCCATGAATTTAAGGCCAGCCAGGCCTATTTCGCAAGACTCTGTCTCAAAACAGAAGATGCAAACAAACAAACAAACAACCAAACAAATGTAATATGGATTAGGTTCAATTATAATGAAAGCAACGCAAAGCAAACAAACTAAAATGCCTTCCTAGTGGTGGACGTAAAACATCTACACCTCCTCTAAGGTCCCAAGGGCAAACCAAGGTACTAGTCCGTCAGAGTTCACTCTAGAGAACCCATGAGTATATACTGGACTTCTTTACAGAGCATGGGTGAGGGGTTATTTACTGGAATGCGGGTATCTCCCAAAAAAGTCTTTACCCAGCAGAGTTGACTTTCCCATAGCCAGAGATGGGAGTCTCCCTCCTTTAGTCTTGCCTGGCCTATATACTCTAGGGCCTAGAGTATATGTAGGTAGGTAGGTAGATAGATAGATAGATAGATAGATAGATAGATAGATAATAATGTATAATACATAAAGAAAATTGTATGTGGTGCTATATGTTTTATACACACATATACACACACATATATATATATATACACCCTATTATATAAATATTATAGAGAACAGTGGTTTTCAACCTTCCTAATGCTGCAACCCTTTAATATTGTTCCTTATATTGTGGTGAACCCCAACCATAAAACTATTTTATTGTTCCTTCATAACTAATTTTACTGTTATGAATTACAATATAAAATCTGATATCCAGGGTATCTGATATGTGACTCGTATGAGGGGGGGGGGTCAAGACCCGCAGGTTGAGAACCCAGACTCTAGGGTCTACTGACCATTCTTGCCTCCATATGAGGGGGTGTAAAAAGTCAACAAGCCCAGCTGAAATAATCTTTTGAAAGTGTACACGGCTGAACTCCACAGACGGTGGCTGTTTATCTCAGAGGATAGCCCTGTACCACACTCTCCTTATACTATAGACATGAAACCACGCCTCAGTGTCTCCCTCTGTAAACATGGAGATGACAGATGACCTCATCAACGGCTGTGTAGATAAACCGGGAACTTAGAAAGCGCACGATCTTGCGTGAGTTACCTGGAAGATAACAGCTGTTCACATAACACGCTAAAACACACATAAGGAGAAAAGAAATGAATGAAACTTTGCTCTAGCAATGCTAAAGCATGCATGGGCAGCCAGCATATGGAGGTTCTGTTGAACTTGTCCATATTGGGTTTCATGGTCTAAGCTGGTGAGGACGACTGACTGGGTAGGTCTCTTCCTCAAGAAGGCACCAGATCTCATTACAGATGGTTGTGAGCCACCGTGTGGTTGTTGGGAATTGAACTCAGGACCTTCAGAAGTGCAGGCAGTGCTCTTAACCGCTGAGCCATCTCTCCAGCCCAAGATGTAGTCTTTAAATAGCAACGCGCATAAAGTAGCTTAAATACATTTGCACCACAATCTAGGCTGACACCTGAACTCCCAGGTCTTCATTATCAGAGGTTCATAAAACCAAATGGCAGACAATAAAGGACACAGCCCTACGGACACTTCATTTGGCACCTTCTGCCGGTAGCACACGGAGGTGCCAGGGGTACACACAGAGGTGCCAGAGGTACACACAAAGCCTTCATGGTGATCAATACTGAACCATCAAAATCACCAGCTTCTATGCTTACCGAGGTGTGGGTCCAGGAGGTGAGGCTGCTCCTGGTATTTGCCCATAATCACTAAAAGGAAAACAATATAAAAATCAAATCAGATGGCTTTATAAACTCTCCTATTGCCTCTGGGTAACCCTGAGACAGTGCCCCTCTTCTTGGCCTTTGTAACTCCCAGGGACACACCCGACCTAGCTAATGGATGCCCAACACGTTCCTGAGGACCAGTGTGACCACATCGTCCTCGTGGACCCTCTTTCTCATGCATTTTCAGATACACCCTTCCACATCTTCGATGCTCCCCTGCTAAGCGTGAGGCCCTCCTATTCCAACAATCTTCAAACCAGTGCACAACCTCCCTGGCCCTGGCCACCAGCCTTCCACCCCTACCAGCAACTTAATCTGCTTCGACCCAACCCAGAGATCTCTCTGCCTCTGCAATCCTCACCTGCCACTTCAGACTCCCTCCACTAAGCCCCACCCCCTTGCCTTTCCCTAAAACTAGAGCCCCATCACTCCAAAGCAAGAAAGACATTGTGGAGAGAATCTTCTTAGCTAAGGAATCCACAAAAACGATTTTGCTCACATATAAAGCTTTAATTATCCAAGGGCTCATTTGGACACTGCCCTGGTTTGCTTTCTGTTCCTGTGATAAAAACTGACCAAAACCAACTTGAGAGTTTATTTGGCTTACCCAGCCAAACATTGAGGGACGTTAAGGAATGAATTTAACCAGTAGAAGCAGGAACTATATGGAAGCGTTGCTCACTGACTTGATCCCAGACTCAAATTCAGCAGTCTCTCTTATCAGGCCCACAATGGGCTGGACCCTCCTTCATCTGCAAAGACGTGCCTACAAGCCAATCTGGTGGTGGCAATTACTTGAGATTCTTTCGAGGTACGACTAGGTTTGTGTCAACTTGACAAAAAACTATGACAGACAGTATCCATTACAGACGACTGCAAAGGTCTACCCAGACGTGGAGAATGTGGAACCACTCAAGGAACCTAATGGCATTGTCCACTCTCCTGCCCTGCCTGCAGCCGAGGTCCTAGTTAAACCTGGCGCTCTTAGGTTGAAGAGCCAATGGCCTCACAGCGGAGCCCCAGAGGAGCACACGCCCCAAGCCACAAGCGCCCGTAGGTGGCAGCTTTGCTCTCGGCAATCCTGCTCGCTCCCTCCCAGCTCGCAGACAAGAACCAAGTGTGTTTTGCTCGCTCCCGGGCAACACAGGACAGGCAGGAGGTATGGCTCCCCAGGTCCCTTCCTCCCAGCTGCAATGACTGCAGGACAGCAACTCGGGGCCCCGCGCGCACCGCGGAATCGCTCCTCCGCCACCTCCCGGGCCGCGCGCTCGCCGTGCACCGCAGGCAGGCTGCCGAGCAGCGCGCGGGTCTCCGCGCTCTCGCCGAACGCTTCCAGGGCGGCGCCGCTGGAGAGCGCGTCATCCTCCACCTCCTCCTCCTCGGCGGCAGTGGTCGCAGCCGGCTCATCGCTCAGGACCATTCCGCCAGCGGCTTCCGTCAGAACCATACCGGCAACCGGGAGAGAAAGGAGGCGCCCCACGAGAGACGCCAGCTCCGCCCCGAGACCTTCGACCCGCCCTACAGGGAGCGCCAGCCGACAAAACAGCTCGCGCGAAGCCGGCTCGGTGCACAGAGCGGTACTAGGATGAGGGAGGCTTCTCCAGCCTCGACTGGGAGTGGGTGGAGCCCGGCAGGGGAGGGGCCGCGGAGAGCGTGGTCTGAGTTGTGGGCAGATCTGAGTTAGGCGAGGGCTGGATTTGGGTGATTGGAGGCGGGCTGGGGGCGGAGCGTCTGGACACGGAGGATTTAAGATCGGGGCGGAACCGAGGTTTTTTGCAGGAAAGCTGCGTGGAAAGGGCCTGAGTGGAGGGGAGGTGTCTGAACGCAGGGGAGGGGGGATGAGAACTGGGTGACGATGTCAGAGCGCCTACGATGTGCTATAAGAGTATGGGAGACTATAGGGTTTGTGAGAGAGATGTTGTTCCAGGATGAAGGCATTTGCGATGACATTTTAATCATTGGAACAATGCTGGCCGCCCAAGGCAGCCCTGACAAGGGGTGTGAGCTGCACACTGCTGGCCCTGCGCTCACCAACATAATAGATCTCACTGGAAAGTGGGGTGGTGAAGGGATGAGATAGTTTAGTGGATAAAATCTCCCGCACTAAGTCTCAGAACTCCGAGTGTGTAATAGAGCCCCAGGCTTTCTTTCCATGGTGGAAGTACCGTTCAGACTATAAAACTCAGCATGTAGACAACACCCACCAGTTAAACTGAAAACAAAAACCTAACCCATCAAAATCCATAGTTCTAGGACAGTCTCTAAATGTACTAACCTTGCTTTTTTTGGCTTCTGTAGTTCCGCTTCTGACCAACTGTTCTTGTTAAATAAAATATATCAGTCCAGGATATGGTTTTTGCGCTTAAAAGCTCACCCTGAGCCGGGCGATGGTGGCGCACGCCTTTAATCCCAGCACTTGGGAGGCAGAGGCAGGCGGATCTCTGTGAGTTTGAGGCCAGCCTGGTCTACAAGAGCTAGTTCCAGGACTGGCTCCAAAGCAACACAGAGAAACCCTGTCTTGAAAAACAAAACAAACAAAAAGCTCACCCTGAGAAAGACTCAATGCTATGCTGAGATTCCAAACTGCTGTAGTTACTGGCTGGCTAATAAAGAGTTTCTATTGGCTTAAATCCATGTCAGAGCAGTCTTCTTGGATATGTTGTGGATAACCTACAAGTTTGGTTCCCACATAGTGGAAGAAGAGAAAACACAAGGTTTGTACTCTAACCTATACACACACATTTGAACACACATACACACAAAATAATGTCTAAAAAAAAAGTAGGAAAAAAAGTGAGGTACTGGAGAGGGTCCAGTGGCGATTGCAACTGAATGACCAGAGTCATGGTGGGGGTGGTCCATCCTACCCAACTGTGGCACTTGGGGCTGCAGCCGCTGAGGTGGGAACTTGCTGGGAACAGTGATGCTGTATCAGATGCCAGTATCAGCAGGAGCTACATACACAGCCCCCTCTGTCAGCACTGCTGCAGCCTCACAGCCCATTCTTGATGAATTTGTTGGAGGCCAACTCCAAATTAGCCCAGTCGGGGTCCCGATTTGACTTTTTATTGGGTCCCAGCCCTCTGCTACCTGAGCAGCTTCCTCATCACGCCCAAGGATGGGCTTCTATACTCCCTCCCAAAGTGGTTCCAGTGGTTTAGGTAGTTGAAGAGCTGATAGAGCAGCAGGCGCTTGTCGAACCCTGGAGCCTTGGGGATCTTCTGGTGGTAGGCAGTGAAGAAGGATCTGGGGAACCCCCCAAACATCAGTGCGATTGCCAGTTCAAACTCAGAATGGCCATAGAAGGAAGCTGGATCGTAAATAATGGGCCCCTGGTCATCCTCAGCCACATTGCCAGACCAGAGGTCTCCATGGAGCAGGGCGGGGACAATCTCTACACCAGAGAACAGGTCCGGGATCTTCACCTAGAAGAGAAAGTATTGGAAATGTGGGACTCAGAGGCTCATGGGTTCATTATCTGGAGCTTGGAAATAGAGCAGAGAGACATGGATTCATCTAGAGGCCAACCAAAAAATCTGTCGGGTCCAGTGAAAAGGCTCACCTGATTCAGGAATGCAGCTTTGCCTAGCTTTCTGGGAACTAACCAAATGAGTCCAAAAGCTTTATGGGAAATCTCAGAAGTTAGTTTTATGCTGTAGACTATGAACCAGTTTGGTACCTACCCTCTGAGCTGTGTTTTTAGTTTACTGTACATATGTACCCGAATCTTTTCTGTTAAATAACATTACTTTGATGCATGTTTACCCTAAACCAGTGGTTCTCAGCCTTCCTAATGCTTTAACCCTCTAACACAGTTCCCCATGTTGTGGTGACTGCTAACCATAAAATTATGTTGTTGCTACTTCATAACTATAATTTTGCTACTGTTATGAATTGTAATGTAAATATCTGATATGCTTGTAATGTAAATATCTGATATGCTTGTAATGTAAATATCTTATATGCAGGATATGTGGTATGTGACCCCTGTGGAAGGGTCGTTTGAGCCCCAGGGATGACGACCCACAGGCTGAGAATCATTGCCCTAGACTGATAGATGAACTGTGTTTCTAATAATTTGGAATATATTTTGAAACAAGTCATGCAGGAATGCACATTTTCACTAAGGGTGGCACATCGGGTCTTTGGCAGAGGAAAAAAAGCTCAGGTTAAGAGTGGACAAATAAAATGAGTGAAATCTATGAGCCAAGGGTCTGTCTCATCCCTCCCCCCACCTACGGGGTGAGAAAGTGATGGCTGATGTACCCACAACTTGACCATCCCAACTCTGACTCAGTCCTGAGAGGCCCCCACATGCATGTGGTGGGCTCATGAGAGACAGCCTCTTTCGAGAGAAGCGGTATGCCCACCTGTAGTCTTGACCACAGTTCTTGTGTTTCTCGGTCAGCATAGTCCCTTTCAATGAGGTTCAGCTGTGCTTGGAGCCGGTGTTGTGTGAAAAAGGTTGGCCAGTCATCCTGCCATTCATTCACCTGAGCAACAAGAGGAGAAGCCAGCACTGTGATTACAGTATAGGCGATTGCAGGTACATGGCACGGTGCCCAGCATTTTCACAGCAGGGCCAGGGACCCGAACCCAGGCCCTCATGCTATGTAGTCAAGGATGCTTAAGAATTTCTACTTCTGCCTCCGCTTTCCAAACTTCTGGGATTGCAGGCGTACACCATATCTGACTCAATTTAAAAAAAAGTAATAATTGGCTTTTTCCAGGCATAGTGATCCACAGCTGTAACCTCAGCCCTTGGGAGGCTCAGGTAGGAGGACTATAGCAAGCTCAAAGCCAGCCTGGTCTACATCCAATTCCCAAGTCAGACAGGATTATATAGTGAGACCCTGTCTCAAGAAGGGAAAGGAAAATAAGACATACAGTTATCAAATGTGCACGTCTACACATGCTAAAGAAGACATACAGTTATCAAATGTGAGTGTCCACATATGCTAAAGAAGACATACAGTTATCAAATGTGCACGTCTACACATGCTAAAGGAGACATACAGTTATCAAATGTGAGTGTCCACATATGCTAAAGAAGACATACAGTTATCAAATGTGCACGTCTACACATGCTAAAGAAGACATACAGTTATCAAATGTGCACACCCACATATGCCAAAGAAGACATACAGTTATCAAATGTGCACACCCACATATGCTAAAGAAGACATACAGTTAACACGTGTGCGTGCCCACATATGCTTATTCCACATCACCCACCAGTCATGACAGAAATACAAAATGGAATCTCAGAGTGAACGCTTTTCTCCAGCTTCAACTGAAAACAACTACAGAAAACATCCAGTGTAGATAAGAGTAGAAAAAAATGGAATTCTTATATGAACTGATGAGACTGTAAACTGGTACAACCTCTTTGGAAGCATGAGCAGCTTTGTGTTATTTTTTTAATCTATTTTTAAATTTTATGTGTGTGTATCTCTGTGTGAGTGTGCCACGGATCTGTGAGAGTGTGCCACTGATCTGTGAGAGTGTGCCACGGATCTGTGAGAGTATGCCACAGATCTGTGAGAGTATGCCACAGATCTGTGAGCGTGTGCCACGGATCAGTGAGAGTGTGCCACAGTGCCACGGATCTGTGAGAGTATGCCACGGATCTGTGAGAGTGTGCCACGGATCTGTGTGCATATGCCACGGATCTGTGAGAGTATGCCACAGATCTGTGAGCGTGTGCCACGGATCAGTGAAAGTGTGCCACAGATCAGTGAGAGTGTGCCACGGATCTGTGAGAGTATGCCACGGATCTGTGAGAGTATGCCACAGATCTGTGAGCGTGTGCCACGGATCAGTGAGTGTGCCACGGATCTGTGAGAGTGTGCCACGGATCTGTGAGAGTGTGCCACGGATCTGTGAGCGTGTGCCACGGATCAGTGAGAGTGCGCCACGGATCTGTGAGAGTGTGCCACGGATCTGTGAGAGCGTGCCACGGATGTGTGGGACCTACAAAGAACGAGAGAGGGCATTAGATCCCATGAAGCTGAAGTGACAGGTGGTTGTGAACCAAACTCAAGTCCTCCCGAAAAGCAGTATGTGCTCTTAACCAACTCTCAGCCCCACATGGCAGTTTCACAAAAACTAAGTAAGAACCTACTGAGCTACCCAGGCTTTCCTGTCTCGGGTCTCCTGTATTCATCCAAGATAAAGTACTTTTACACAATGACTTACACAAAGGTTCATAGCAGCTTTATTTATCAAAAACACGCTAGGAACAACAGACATCCATCAGCAGATGAACGGATAGACAGAGATCATGGTTATTCCATACACTGGAATAGACTTTGGACACACTTGACATGAACGGATTTCATGTATGAACTTCAAAAGATTTGACATGGACCATATCGAAATGATTATATGGAGCGAAATAAGTCAGAGTGAAAAAAAAGCGAAGGGGACACACTGTATGATTATATTTATATAAAACTTCACAGAACACAAGCAAATCTGCAGTGCCAGAAAGCAGACCTGCGGATGTCCTGGAACAGGGATAGGTTACAGGAAAAGGTTGTACAGTACTCATTTTCACCTGCAGCGAGCAATCTGTGGCTGGCTGGCCGTGTTATCAAACTGTACACCTGAAACAGGTGCAATCTGTGTCACCTAGGCTTCCATGGAGATAGACATGGGCTAAGGTTATTCCAAGGGCTGCTCTGAGAAACCCCTGAGGCAGAGCTTTTGGAGTGTATTCTGAACCTGACAGGCAGCCTATGTAGTCCTGGTCGTCCTCCTCTTCCTGGAGTCTTTCCTGGGTGCTTCAGGCATTTATCCCAGGCTTTACTCCTTAGTGCCAGGTGCACCTCAAAGGAACCCTTTTCCCCAGCCTAGCAAGCCCCCACCACTGCGGTCCACCATCACAGCATCCCACCGTTCCTATTTACCTGCCACGGCTCCCAGTACCTGGGGGCTCTCCTCTTACCTGAAAATATAACAAGGTCACAAAAAACACAATTTCCTTTTGGGAACAAAGTTCAGTCTCGCCACTTAGATGGAAGGGCCAAGATTCCCAAGGTCAAGGAAAGATGTGACCTTTCTGCTGAGCTACTACAGGCAGGTGCCACCTGAGCATAAGGACTGAGAAAGGTAGCATTGTATAATGGTTAGAGCCATCTCTGAGGCCAGACTGTATGTTAAGTCCTGGTTCCTCCATTCTCTTCATGGTCTCTGGGAATGTTACTTAGTCTCAATTAGTTTCTTATTCTGTAAGATACATCAGCGACATCACCTAGTTCATTACCAAATGGGGCAAAATGCTTGGAACACTGTTAGGTTCTTAGCAGGGAATACAACCTATACGTTCCCAGGCCAACTGGACTAGCACTCCCAACAGAACTGACTGCGCTAGGGTCTACACAGTCCACCTTCAGTGGTTCCCACCATAACTGCAACACCTCTCAAGGGCCCACTCAACCCACCAAGGGAGTAGGATGCCAGGAGCTTGGGGATAGTTGGAAGAACTAAAGAACAATATTGTTGTTACTCAAAGTAGGCAGGCTTGGACTCTGATGCCCTTCTGACACGTCCACAGTTGCCTCATGGTCCCAGAGTCTGAAGGGAATGCAGAGACCCTCTGTCTTTCTGATTGGCCAGCTCCATTCTTGCCCGGCTTCATATACAAGTTCTAGACACTATTTCATTTCTCAACTCATAAATATTTGAGAAAACACCGCTACACCCGCCAAGTCTTTAAGACCCACCACCACAAGAAGCCCTTCAACTCAATGTGTAAATCAAGACAACAAATCATGCTTGTCTGTGATGACAGAGCCCATGCTAGCCCCTAGCTGCAACCAGGTGTGTAACACCAGGAAAGTCAGTTTTGCCTGAGATTGGGGGATCTTGGCAAGTCTTCTGTGTACAGTTTTGGGACTTAGATTCATAGATGCCTATTGGATGGGATCCCTAAGTCTGCCTTGGGCTTCATAAAAGTCTTGTCACAAGTCACCTCCAGCCCATGCCAGGGGGAGCTCTACTATAGTCTAAAGTAGCCCAACTAGTCAGAGAAGGTTTAAAGGAAGAGAAAAATTTGAAAATGTTGGTCCTTCAAGCAGTTAACAGGTTTAAATTGGGATGGTCCTTATACAAGAGGTATTCTGTCCTTAATAAAGCAAAAGATAGTCTAATAATGGCTTCTCTGAGGTAGGTGTAGGGCAGGTAGACTGCCCATGAGATAAGCCTAAGGTTCTGAGATGGTGACTCAAGAGACCACAATGTTATTCAGCCATAATAATAAGAATGGAGAGTGGGGACACAGCTCAGCTGATAACAGTACTTGCTGCTCTCCCAAAGGACCAGAGTTCGGTTCACAGCATCTACATCAGATGGTTCACAACAACTCATAACTTCAGTTCTGAGGGATCAGACACCATCCTCTAACCTCCTCGGGTACCCGTACATGTGGCATTCATTCTGTCTTACACAAACAGTATAAATAAAAATAAATCTTTTTAAAATGTTGGGATGTTGGCTCCCATCTATAATAACAGCAATTGAGAGACTATAATAGGTAAAACTGTGGGTTCCAGTCCAAAATATGTTCCAAGTATACAGTAGTAAAACATGATGCTCTTGTGTGGTGATACTTCATTTGTACTGTATTTATTTATTTATTTGGTTTTTCAAGACAAGGTTTCTCCAGAGCTTTGGGGCTTGTCCTGGAACTAGCTCTTGTAGACCAGGCTGGACTCAAACTCATAGAGATCTGCCTGCCTCTGCCTCCCAAGTGCTGGGATTAAAGGCGTGCACTGCCACCACCACCCGGCTCATTTGTACTTTAATAAATGAAGCTTGCCTGAAGTTCAGAGAGTAAAACAACCGCACTGATCAACCTTACAGACCAGGCAGTGGTCCCAGTAGCCGCACTAGTTTGCCATAGAAACTGGGCGGTAGTGGTGCAGGCCTTTAATCCCAGCACTAGAATCTCATTCTGAGATTCCTGGAGGCAGGATCGCCATTTTAGACTGAGGAAGAGGTAAGAGCCAGTGGCTGACTGTTTTGCTTTTCTGACCTTCAGGTTGAACTCCAATTTCTGTCTCGAGGTTTTTATTAATCGTGCAGTGTAGATTAACCTTGAAAACACTGTAGTAAGTGAGAGAAACTGGACACAGGTCACATGTTATACAATGTCGCCAACATAAAATGTCTAGAACGGGCATAGAGATGCGCAGTTTGTGATGGCTGGTGCTAAGGGAAGGCGGAAAAGGGGGTGACTGCTAACGGGAGTTGCTATTGGGTGATGAAAATATTCTGGAATGAGACATAGGAATCCATAGACATATTGCCTGAACACACCTGACCTCCTCTGACCTCAGAGGCTAAGCAGTAAGGGCCTGGTTAGAACTTGAACACAAGATAACGGTGATATTTGCCTTAGCACTGCGATTGTACTAAAAATCATTGAACGATACACTTTAAAAGGGAGAGCTGTAGCTGGGCATGGTGAAGGGAAGCAAATCTCTATGAGTCTGAGACCAGCCTGGTCTACAGAGGGTATCCCAGGACAGCCAGGGCTACACAGAGAAACCCTGTCCTGAAAAGCCAAACAAACAAAATAAAATGGAGAGTTTTGTGTTACATGTGTTACATCTCAATTGTATTTTAATAAAAGACAATTATGTTAGCAGCCCTGGAAAAGGACCTGAGTAACAAGGGCTTTATCTTTGGCATTACCCAGTCTACACTCCTCAGACTCTTAAACTGGCCTGGTACCCTCCTACAGCATGTCTTTTGTATCACTATGCCTCCACCTGGAATGCCGATCAGCTGACTGCAGTGTCTGACCAAGCCTGGCTCCCGTAGCCTTCACATCTGTCATAGGCAGCTCCGCCTACACTCTACCTTCAGAAACAACGGTTGAGTGCTCCGGTATCTGGAGAACTGGCACTCTGTTGCACACAAGGGGTCAGCGACTGGCACTTCATGGAAGGACATCAGTCAAGCGCCGGAGCCTCAAGAATGGCCATCACTAAGTAGAGACGCCCTCACTCAGACACTCACCTGTGGGATGAAGCCGCAGCACGTCACTGTGTTGAAGCCGAACTTGGTCACACCCTGGGACTCAGCATTCTCAGCCCCACAGCCTGTCAACAGAAATCTGTCATGGGAACCAGACCTCAGGAGAATGACCTGCAGACCTGGCTGCAGGCACACAAATGGCTCAGACACTGGTCATCTGAGAAATCACTACACATGGAAGCCAGCACATAGATTCACCGGGGCTTTTCTACCCTAGACCAATGGACAGACTGCGGGACGGGTTGGTCAGAAGCCAATTCTACTCATTTATCAGCTTTGTTAAAATTACTTAATCATCTCATTTTCACAGTGTATTTGGGGCTGGAGAGATGACCCCAGCACCTGGGTTAAGCAACATATAACTACCTGCAACTCTACCTCTAGAGGATCAGGGGCAGATCAACCCCAGCAAGTACCTGAACATGTCTCTTCTCTCTCTCTCTCTCTCTCTCTCTCTCTCTCTCTCTCTCTCTCTCACACACACACACACACACACACACACACACACACACACAAATAAAGAAAAAGTTGTTTGATGAACTATAAAGGGAGATGCTATACCACTCAACTCATTATTAAAATACCACCAAGAAGCAGCACGAAGACCCATCTAAGAGAGCTGATGGGCTAGGCCCAGGGTGAACTGAACTGACCCACTGTGTTCTCCCGGGCCTTGGCCTTCTCCCTGAGCTTCTGGTTGTAAAGGTGCAAATCTGCCATCTGGTCTCCGAGCTTTGATGCCTGGCTAAAGAAAGAAGAAAGGCAGCAGTTAAAATGGCAGACAAATAACACTAGTCATCATGTTCTGCTTTGAGAAATGTTGTAAATACCTTAAAGGTACTCTTAAAAGTAAAATAATAAACCCTTTCTAAAAAACAAAAAAAAGTATCACAATGGCCTTTGTGATCATGTCTGTAGCATCTTAGCATATGTTGGCCAGTAAGTAAAAAACACTCAGCTCTAAACTTATAGAAATGTGAACTAAACATAGAGAAACCCTGGGACCACAGTCACATGCTGAGGTGCAAGCTATGGCAACTCCCTGTTGATAAAATGCTGATGCCATCTGAACTAGAGTTTGTTCTTCACACAGAACATCCGTGACTGTAATAGAGGAAAAGATTAGGATGACAGATAGTTGATCAGCCTCTCTCAGCCCAAACTGGATGAATATACTACATAGCACAAAGGAAGGAACTTAGTCAAATACATTTACTTTATGCAGACTCATCACAGCTGAACTCACCAAAATGAAACAAAAAAAACAAAAACAAAACACAACTGGTGTGGGAAGTCCTTCTGTCTATGTCTTGCTTTTATTGGTTAATGAATAAAGAAACTGCCTTGGCCTGTGATAGGGTAAAGTAGAGCTAGGCGGGGAAAACTAAACTGAATGCTGGGAGAAAAAGGTGGAGTCAGGAGATGCCACATAGCCATGGCAGAGGACAGACGCCAGAACTTTGCCTGAAGCCACAGCCATGTGATGATACACAGATTAATAGAAATGGGTTAAATTAAGATGTAAGAATTAGCTAATACAAAGCTAGAGCTAATGGGCCAAGCAATGACTTAATTAATACAGTTTCTGTGTGGTTATTTCAAGCTGATCAGCCAGGAACAAACAAGTGGTCTTCCTACAACAAACAGCAATCATCTTTGTCTTGATTAATGGATTAAGAATGGGGGCTTGAGAGATGGCTCAGCCGTTAAGAGCCCAATTCCCAGAGGAAATGGGTTCAATTCCAGCACCCACCGGATGGCTCATACCTTCTATAACTCCAGGTTGAGGGGATCCAACCCCCTCTTCTGGCTTCTGAGGGCAGTACACAATGTGGTGCACAGACATACAAGCAGGCAAAACACCAAGACACAAAAAGTATTTTTTTTAAATTTTAGTAGAGAAAGACAAGTTGTTATTCTTATGAAAATTGAAGAATTAATAGAAGCTTCAGTTTCAAGATCTCAGGTCCAATAAGAAGAAACCAGAACAATAAAGAGTGGACTCCAGGGACCGGAGCTGAAGAAAGAAGAAACAGCTCATCTGTTCAGAGTACCTGCATCGGACCCAGGTTCCTAGTACCCATGTGACAGCCCAAAAACATCTCTAATTCCAGTTCCAGGAAATCCAACACCCTTGTCTAGCCTCTGGAGTCACAGACATGCACTTGGTGCATGTACCTGTAGACAAACATATGTGTATAATAAAAGTAAATCTTTAAAACATGGACTTTGGCCGGGCGGTGGTGGCGCACGCCTTTAATCCCAGCACTCGGGAGGCAGAGGCAGGTGGATCTCTGTGAGTTCGAGACCAGCCTGGTCTACAAGAGCTAGTTCCAGGACAGGCTCCAAAACCACAGAGAAACCCTGTCTCGAAAAACCAAAAATAAATAAATAAATAAATAAATAAAACATGGACTTTGACAGCCAGTCAGGCATGGTGACGCACATCTTTAATCCCAGCACTTGAAAGGCAGAAGCTAGGCTGGTTTACATAGTGAGTTCAAGGCCAGTCAGGGGTGCATAGTAATACCTTTAAAAAAAAAAAAAAAGGACTCTGGCCACTGGACTGAGTTATGCAAGCTCAGCAGAGGCTTCTTCCTAGTGCTCTTTCTCTTTCTCTCAGTCCATTTCTCTCAGACGCTACTCCCTAGTGTCCCCCCTTCCACTTCTTTCTCTCCACCTTTTTCGTCTGTCTTCTCTATTTCTATTTCCCTGTGTCTTTTGTCTATGTGTCTGTCTGTCCCTGCCTCTTTCCTCTGTACCTGTCTCACTGTGTTTATGCCAGCCTTTCCCTGTCTCTCTCTCTTCCTGTCTGTGTGTCTCTATGTGCACACATGGCCCTCCCTCCCTCTCCCCATAAATGTGCACACATGGCCCTTCCTCTCCCCATAAGTGTGCACACATGGCCCTCCCTTCCTCTCCCATACACCTGCACATGGCCCTCCCTCCCTCTCCCATACACATGCACATATGGCCCTCCCTCTCCATGCACGTGCACACATGGCCCTCCCTCCCCATACATGTGCACACACGGCCCTCCCTCCCCATACACGTGCACACATGGCCCTCCCTCTCCCCATACACGTGCACACATGGCCTTCCCTCCCTCTACCCATAAATGTGTACACATGGCCCTCCCTCTCCCCATACACGTGCACACACGGCCCTCCCTCCTCTCCCCATACACGTGCACACATGACCCTCCCTCCCTCTCCCATACACGTGTACACATGGCCCTCCCTCCCTCTCCCATACACCTGCACATGGCCCTCCCTCCCTCTCCCATACACCTGCACATGGCCCTCCCTCCCTCTCCCATACACCTGCACATGGCCCTCCCTCCCTCTCCCATACACCTGCACATGGCCCTCCCTCCCTCTCCCATACACCTGCACATGGCCCTCCCTCCCTCTCCCATACACCTGCACATGGCCCTCCCTCCCTCTCCCATACACCTGCACATGGCCCTCCCTCCCTCTCCCATACACCTGCACATGGCCCTCCCTCCCTCTCCCCATACACCTGCACATGGCCCTCCCATCCACACAAATGTACTCACCTGCTCAGGCTCTTCATCTTCAAATATTCCATCACGAAAACAGCCCCACCTCCTGGCAGGTCAATCACCTTCATGGGCTTAGGTACCCGCACCAAGCCAGTGCTGCGGAGGGCCTCCAGGCTTGCCATCTCTCCCTCAAACATCTGCCGGGCCTGCATCCAAATGCCACGAACACTGTCAGCTCTGATAACCTGGACTTTCACAGAGGCCTTGCTAGACAGTCCAAGGGACACATGGCCCTCGACACATGCCACAAAACCAAGTGCCTTCAATTACTGAAAATCAACCTCACACGCACCCCTCAAAGCCAGGGTGCGAAAGGGACCCCTTCAGGTAAGAAGGGCAAACCTGAGGCCAGGACTCAAGGTGTCTGTGTGAAGACCCACATGGCAAAGCCTTGCTGTGGAAGATGCATAGACCACAAGGGGATGACAGAAGGAGCAGGCACAGTCAGATGTGAGCTAACAAAAAGTCCGAGGCGGGGCCTGGGTCCTCCATGGCACTGCTTTCTTTCCTGCCTCTGAGTGCGAACAGGCAGCCTTGGGCATGGGAGAAATTACCTGGGCTCATATCTGGGTCAGAGAAGGCAGAGTGGGGAGGTCAGTAGGGCCTGGCTCAGTTCTAGCAGGGACTAGAGAAGCTACAAAAGACTCATACAGCCTGCTTGCCTGTAAGGCTTTTGCTGGCACCCAGAGGCTTTCTTGTTCCTAAACTATTTCTACAAATATCCCATTTTATTTTTAGGCAGACTTACATATTGTTCATACCGTGGTGAAAAACATGTGTTTTATTTATTTACTTATTTATTCATGGTGCTGGTGACTGAGCCCAGGAGATTGTGCATACTAGGCAATGCTGTACTACTGAATGAAATCCTCAGCACCCCACAAAAAAAATGCATTTATAATGGGTTTGTGAATACTTCTATATATATAGGATCATGGGGTGGCTGTTTGTTTTTTTGAGACAGGGTCTCACTGTGTAGCCTTGGTTGTCCCAGAACCCGTTCTGTAGACCAGGCTGGCCTGGAACTCACAGATATCCTCCTGCCTCTGTCTCCCGAGTGCTGGGATTAAAGGCGTGCACCATCACCACCTGGCTAGAATCATAGGTTTTTAAAAATTAAAAATAGATGACTCTGGTAGGTAAGAGCATTTACCACACGAGCCTGATGACCCAGCTTTGATCCCCAGAGCCCACATGAGAAGTCAGATGTGGTGCTGTGCATCTGTAATCCAAGCCCTCCCGCTACCTGACAGGAGGCAGAGACAGCAAAATTGCCTAGAATCTTTGAGGCCAGCTAGCCTGGAACATGCTTTGTAGGGGCAGAAACAAGAGAGACCGCGCCAGAAAACAAGGCAGAAAAACAGAACCAACTCCCAAAAAGTTGTCTACTGACTTCTATATGCATCATGGTGTGTGTAAGCCAGAACTCTCACACACACATACAAAAAATAATTGAAATGTTTTTAATTTAAAAAATGAAACTTGAAGCCAAAACACTTTTATCACACATGAAAAGAATTCTTCGCCTTTAATTCAGATTTCCAAGGGGAACGTCAGACAGGTATCCTCAAACTGCAAACCTGCACTTGGGACCAAGAGGCAAGGGTTGGGTATCCTGGATGGGAAGAGCATCTGATCTGCAAACCCCAGCCATGTCTCCAAGGTGAACCTCCAAGCGATCCCAACAGTACAGAGGATGCAAGCTAATCCTATTTCTGACACCATCTCTAATGATATCGGGGGACCAAAAAGGGCTGCTCTGGGATCCTCTTCTCCCCCACAGCCAGCAACTACTGGAACCACCTTCCAGAGCTACATCTGGAGCATAGGACCTCTGGAAACCCTCAGAGCTGGGGGAGCACCGGACTGTGCTATCAGCAGCTTGCTCTTGGGGCCTCTAGCCAACGCTCTCCATCTGTCTTATAGTTTTTCATATTCTTTTGTTGTTGTTAGTTTTGTTTTGAGTCAGGGTCTCCTCATGTGGCCCAGCTGGCTTGAGACATGCCGCCCTCAGCCTCCTAAGTACTTTGATTATAAATATGTGTCGCAATTCCTGGCTCCATACATTCTTAAACAGGAATATATTAAGGTGTCCTAGTAACTCCAGAGCTTGTGAGGAAGATAGTGTTAACCTGGCAGTGGGACTCCTGTCTTTCCCCAGAATGCTGGAGCTGAGCTCAAGGCAGAGACCAGACGTGGGCAGATGGTGTTTACAGCTGAGACTCATCTCCATGATCAATGACTACAGAAATTTAAAGCAAAAAAGTGATTATACATCAAAGACAAATCCTTCAGTCCTAAGAGGAAGCCTCCCTGCAGGAGCTGACCCTTCAGGGAGGGTAGGGACACCAGGTAGTTTTTAAGTAATTCCCCCCACTACTTCCCGGAACCGTGCATTCCTCTTTCCCCCTCCCCAGATTCCACCCTGCACACCCCTCAGCGCACCTGCGTCCTGCGGTTGACCTTGACAAACACCGGACCAGCGTCGGTGTCGTAAGCACGGCCTTCGCTGATGCAGCCGGCCCCTGAGCTCCCAAAGGCCCGCAGTGTCTTGGTGCGCAGCTCGGCGCGCAGCAGCTGCTCCATGGAGACCAGAGGACCAGAATGCAGGGAGATGACACAGAGGAGGGGACCCGGGTACCAGAAGTAAACACGCCGCGCGAACACGCAGTGGCGGGGAGGGGGAACAGTTACTGCTGGGCGATCACAAGGTCCGGACCCAGTGACGCCGCGGCCTCCTGGCTCCTAGCGGCCACTCGGGTGCGCACTATCGCTGCACGCTCCTATTGCACCAGAGCTGAGGTGGGATGGGGAAGAAGGGGGAATTCTACCAGACAGCTATTTCTCTCCAAGACAATCTCTACCCGGGGTAGCAGGGATGCAAAGGCTCTCAGAGCTCTCCTACGAGGCTCATTCCGGAATTTCAATTCCAGGTTGACTCATCCCAGGGGAGCAAGACCGGCAGACCTAATCTTGAGTGTTGGGTAAAGCCTGGGAGACAGAGAGAAAGTGTCCTTGTGTCCTCACAGCATACATGTGAAGTCCCAGTATATCTGTCTGCACCATCTGGGGTCCACCCTTGGCCCTGTGCTCCCTGCACAACTGGGTGGATCAGGAGTGGCCTACAGGAAGATTTGGGCCAGGGCTTCTTTATCCTTACAACACAAGGCACAGCCTGGAGACTCAGCTAGCTAGTGGAGAGGCTATAAGCTTAGCTCGGCTCTCACTGGACAGAGTACGGTGGAGTCCTGGGGGGGGGGGGTGCCCTAGCTAGGCCTAGGGGCACCTTTAATGCCACAGGGCTGGCTGATAAAAGCTGTGTTGGGGGTTATGATAGCAGCAGCCTGCCCCACCCAAGGTAGGTGGGACTCTGGATAGACATGATAGGAAAGAAGTTTCAAGACACTATGCTCACACACACACACACACACACACATACAAGAACACCTTCACAGACTGGTATAGGGGACCGTCTGTGCCAAGGTAACCCTCAAGGGTTTTAGGAGAGGCTGCCTCAAAACCCAGCCCCCACCATGAGCTGCTGGTGCCCTCCTGTACTAATAATGTCTCTAGTGGGGTGAGTGAGCCGTTGCTGAACTTTCCGTGCGTGCTGGGGCATGAGGGAATGTCAGCTAAGTCCACAGCTGTCCTGTGAGAGGATCCTATAGTTACTTCCCACCTTCTCTGTAAAGAAATCGAAGCACAGAGGAGTTGACTTGCACCTGACCCAGTGCTGGGATGTAGCTCAGAATATTTTAAACCGAATCTGGCTTTGGGTTCCATCCTCTGAATCCTTGTCTCAGGGCCCACGACATGTCATCGAAAGCCTGACTGTACCATGCGGCTCAGGGTTTCCCTCCTGACCTGCCAGCTGAAAGTTCGGCAGCTCTGACCCCGATCAGACACCCTCATGTTAAGGGTGAAGCCACTGTGAGATGAAGCTCAAAGCACAGGAGAGATAATGTGTATGAGGCCACAAGCAGAGAACCTATCTTATAAGCTCCAGCAGGCCTCAGAAGGGCAAAACCTGTCAGTTCTGGCTATCCCTGTGGTCCTTGTGGGCTGTCCTGGTTCAGGACTGAAACTGGGTTCCCTGAGGTTCTTTAATAATTCCTGTTTCTAGCACCTGTGTGGGATGATTGGCATCTGGGCTCAGCAGACACCATCAACCAAGGTACATTGATACCGCCTCCCAATGTGGCTTGAACATTCCCAATCATGGAAGCCAGAGTGGGAGTCTCCAGAGCCAAGGTTCCACCCCAGGGCCTTTTCTAACCGGGTTCTAAACCCAAGCACCGCTCCCTGTCTTCCCTCTGTGGGTCTTCCATGGCTCCAGGGACTGACCTAATTGGGTGGTGAGGAAATGCAAAGACAATGTATGGACGGACACACAGAAAAGGCTTGAACGAGGCTTCAGCATCCCAGAATCTCAGTGTGCTTGTTATTTACAGTTGAACAAGTAGCCAGGGTTTGTGGTATTTAGCTAAAGGAAGGGGGCAGGCTCCACTAATCTCAGTAGGAGCCGGAGTCAGCAGCAGTCTCTGTAGCGGAGCAGTCTTCAGGCTGTGAATATCTGAGAAGAAAAAGCCATGGTGGGTATTTTCTGCAAGCACAGTCGACATTCACGCTCAGACCGCAGGAAAGCCTTGTCGTTTCTCTGAGCGTCCCCTGGAGGAAAGGCTTTGCCAGATTATCATGGATCTGAGCTTTGGTGTTGATCTTGCGGCTCATGTGAAAAGCAAACCCACATGGGCCTTCTCTGCCCCCCACACACTGGTTATGATCTGTCAAGGCCATACCAAGTAGATGGACTTGACAGTGTGGAGAGCTCACTCCAAAAAGCAGGTAGAATGAGCTGGGCGGTGGTGGCGCACGCTTTTAATACCAGCACTCAGGAGGCAGAGGCAGGCGGATCTCTGTGAGTTCGAGGCCAGTCTGGTCTACAAGAGCTAGTTCCAGGACAGGAACCAAAAAGCTACGGAGAAACCCTGTCTCGAAAAATCAAAAAAACCAAAAAAAATCAGGTAGAACGGCCATCTAGAGGAAACGTTAACTGCTGTCTCCACCTGAGGCCTGTCCTACCAGGACATGAAACATTGAAAACAACATGACCAGAAACGTCTTTATTATTGGCTGACAAATTGACTGTGTAGAAAATTCAGGGTGGTCAGACCGTTCTGCTTCAGACTAAGAAGGCTCCGTTGCTTGTCAGCTTCTTTAACCATTGGGAGGTTTGAGGCATTTTAATTCTTCATAGGATCTATCCCCTCTCTGGAAGTTTCTAGGCTATTCTGTGTAACTGGTGTCTAAAAATCCCAGGGATGTTTCAGGTGAATCGGCCATCAGTCTCTGGACAGACTGCTAGGTTATCTCAGAAAGAAAGCCTGTCCTCCCACAGCTCTCTGAGCTTCACTAAGGTCCTGGCAGACGATAGCTACAATGAGAGGCACACAGAAAGAAGCTGTGAGAACAGGACCCAACTGCATAGGGAGGGCTAATAAGAGCCACTAACAATTCAGAGGCAAGACAGTTGGGATACTAAGTCTCTGAAAACAGTAGTAGGGTCTGCAGGTGGTGGTGGCACACACCTCTAATCCTAGAACTCAGGAGGCAGAGGTAGGTGGATCTCTGTGAGTTCGAGGCCAGCCTGGTCTACACAGTGAGTTTCAGGCAATATAGCATTACAATATTTTCTGGCGAACAGCTAAGATAAATGTTGAGCACATGTATGTGGAAAAAAAGTCTCAGGCATCACTGAAACAACTGCAATTATATTCAAATTTTTAGGCAAAAAGATTTATCAGCATCAATTTCAACCATGAAATTTCCCATTTCTACAATGTTGAAAGACAAAAAATAATAACACAAATGTTCATATGTTGCAAGGAAATGACAGTTTTAGAGAACAGCACAATGTTGCAAGGAGCCGCTTGTTCGTCCCGGCCGCCCAGAACCAAAATAATCGCACAGAAACTGTATTAATTAAATCACTGCTTGGCCCATTAGCTCTAGCTTCAATCAAGAGGAGAAATATACATATAACAAAATGTAAACCAAGATCCATACCAATGTAAATCTCTATAGCAGTGTAAGGCAAGGTAGTGGTGGTGCACATCTTTAACCCCCGCACTCAGGAGGCCGAGGCAGGTGGATCTCTAAGTTTGAGGCCAGCCTGATCTACACAGAGAAACCCTATCTTGAAAAACAAAAGGGAGGAGGAGGAAGAAGAAGAAGAGGAGGAGGAGGAGGAGGAACAAGAGGAGAAAACAGCACAACGCTGGCATAATGTTTTTCCAGGCTCCTAAACTGAGCCAAGTTACCCTAAGGTTGGTAGCTTGATCGGTCCTCAAACCAATCTCCAGACCAGCTCAGCTTGTGGCAGGGTTCAGAAGCACTACACAAGCAGAGGGAATATCACTGATTTCAGAGTTGGTCATTACTCAGATCTCCTGACAAGAGGACTCCATGTCTAGATCAAGCCTGACCATTACAAAGCATCACTGTGAAGAGCTCAGAAATGTTCCATATGCACAACAAGGAAGCGATGGGAGGTGGGCACCTCGGCCACACCAACACGGTCCTCACAGTTCTTTCCTTTGCAGCACGGTGTGGCGCCCTGTACCTAAACTTCCTAAGTCTCTGCTCAAATCACAACTGAGGCCTAACCTAGCCAGGAAGTCTCACAATGTACGCAACTTCAAGATTATATAGCCATTCCTCTGAAATAACCCATGCTCTACAAGGCTAAGAAATAAGATGTCAAGGTATCTTAAGCAAGTGCAGCCATGGAGTAAATGGAAAGAATCCATGAGGAAAAGACGGTGGAGAATCATGAACTCCTTGGAATAGCTGGAATCTGGTCACCTGACTCCGAGGCACTTCCCTCAGGGCAGTGACACTTGTGATGTAAGACTTGATCTGCACACAGAATCATCTTGTTAGGAGACCCAGCACACTCAGAACAGACTGCCCTCTGGCCAGTTCATTTGCTGAGATTCCTCATTATGTTGAGAGAGGATCCTCTGTATCCAGATCCAAAATGATTCCAGTGGTTCAGGTAGTGAAAGAGCTGATACAGCTGCAAGCGCTTATCAAATCCTGGGGCTTTAGGGATTTTGCTATGATAGGCAGAGTAAAAGGAGCTGCTGAAGCCCCCGAACATGCCAGCTATTGCCAGCTCATATTCTGAGTGGCCATAGAAGGAAGCTGGATCAAAAATTATGGGCCCAGAGGAATCTTCTGCTACATTCCCTCCCCAGAGGTCTCCGTGAAGTAAGGAGGGCACAATTTCCAGGTCACGAAACAGGTCAGGAATCTTCACCTGCAAGGAGAAAGATGGAGTCTTAGACAAGGTAGTCAATGAATATGGAGGTGTAGGTGTCTTCCTAAGTGCTGTTCCACAGATCTACGAGCTGTTACTCAGATGTGTCTGACTTAGAGAGAGACAGGCACTGCTGTAAGAAATACAATCAGCGAGCCGGGCGATGGTGGCCCACGCCTTTAATCCCAGCACTCGGGAGGCAGAGACAGGAGGATCTCTGTGAGTTCGAGACCAGCCTGGTCTACAGAGCTAGTTCCAGGACAGGCTCCAAAGCCACAGAGAAACCCTGTCTCGAAAAAACCAAAAAAAAAAAAAAAAAAAAAAAAGAAATACAATCAGCGCTGCCCATGCTCTGGTGCCCCCCCATCAGTGCTCAGTGGGCACTGTTGGCATTGGGTATACAGAGAAGGCCCTGCTCACCTGCAGAGCAGACCACAGCTCAAGAGCTTCCCGGTCTCCGGACCTCTTCTCCACCATGTCCATCTGGGGCTGAATGCGCTGACTGGCATAGAATGTGACCCAGTCTTTCTGCCAGTCATTTACCTGCCCAGGAGAGAGAATAGGGCAAAG